AAAATTATGGTTTCATAAACTATTAGGGTAGAATTTTCTAAACAGATCCATACCCCTTTTAGGAATTCCTGACTTATGAGTAACTTCTACAAGAAGAGCTGCTATTCCTCCTCTCCCTACTTCGCCTACTTCCTCCATGATCGTGACTGATGCTGACTGTGGCAGCTGAGTCCTACCAAGCCCTGGGAGCTCCTGTGCCCATTTCCCAGTCCGGCAGTGAAGAGTGATGCACAGTTTGGACAGGAAATATGATCGTGAGGACATGTTACACAATTATCAGGTTAATGTGTGAAAACTGAAGAAACTATACAGGCTTAAAACAACCAAGCTGAGATCTGGAGGGAGAGCACTGAGATCAACATTTTGCTACCTAACACGCAGATCGTGAGTAACACCATGTGCGCAGCGTAGAGAACGTGCGCATGCGTGTGGACGTGTCTGTGCTGGGGTTCGCACTGTATCAGGGAGGCAGCAGAACTGAATCAGGAGCCCTCACTTGTATGAGCTGCAGAGTCCAGCAGCATCTCTGTGAAAGAGCAAGAGAACAGCCCAGAGGAGCAGGCGGTCTGGCCCCAGGATGGGGCCACCCACAATTTCAACATGTGGTATGACTAGATCAACATCAAGATTTGCCCGAGTTTCAATAAGTCAAACCAGGTCTGTTAGCCACATGTTGCTATTTGTATTTATATTTTTGGATAATCATTTCCTAGGGATATTGAAATTAGTAATAGTAAACATACTAATTTTGCTTTTGAGACTTTTCCAATCCTAAAGCTTCGCTAAAAAGTAAAAATAGTTGTATAGAATAAATATGAACTCACAGCTCAAAAAAAGAGAAATCATGTTTAAGATCCTGGCATGCAATTTTTTCTAAATAGCGGAAATAGGTTTTTTTGAACCCAAGTAGTACTTACTGTTGTGGCTAAAAAATCAGAAATTACTGATGAGCAAACAGAATAAGCCAAAAATTAGCCACAGCACATCTTGAACTGTGGCACTACCCACAGGTACAACATTTTGTATACACCTTCCCAGATGTTCTACTGCTTATCTTTGTATGTATATTCACATTTTAAATAAAAAGAACATCTTTGCCTGCCTATTGTATACATTTCTACAATATAATTTTTTTTAAAGATTTTTTTTTTATTGGGGAATTGGGGGGATGGGAACAGTGCTGGGGAATTGGGGGAAGGGGAACAGACAAGTTGCTGGCCCTCTTATGTGGGATCCGAACCGGGGCCCTCTGGCGTCCCAAGCCAGTTCTTAACCATCGCGCCACTCGGCCGGCCCTACAATATAATTTTTAATGGCTGCAATGTATTACAATTTACTCAAACCTAGTGTCGGACATTTAGCTTGTTTCTAAATGTAGGTACTTTAACAAAGGATGTGAGGACTATCCTTATGGCTAAATCTTTGCTTGCAGTGCCAGGCACCGTTATCGGCAATGAACCAGACAAATTGAGTTCCTGCCTCATGAAACTTACTTCCAGTGGGAACCTGTCTGGTCAAGCACATATCCCTAACCTTAAGTATTTCCAAAGAAAAAGGTCCTAGAAGTTAAATTGCTAAAGTAGAGTATGCACATTGAAAGTTCTTTGGCTATGTACAAGCATATTGTCAAATTGCCTTCCAGAAAGATTGCATCTATTTATATCAGTAGTGTATAAATTCAAATATCCATCAGCAGTGTATAAATAATGTGCATTTGCTATTTTTTTAATTGACCAATATATTAAACTGACTCTGATTCCTTGAAAACTGTCTAAATGAGGCCTACTTTTCAGCAGTGATAATGAAAACATCCAAAAATACACCAAGTAGTATATTTGCAGTTATTTTTTCTTTAAAATAAATAAGACAGTATTTTTTAAAAATTGAGATATAATTGACATACAGCATTATATTAGCTTTGGTTGTAAAATATAATGATCTGATTTTTATATATATTGTGAAATGATCACAATATGTATAATTAACATACATCACCACACATACTTACAGAATTTTTTTTTATGATGAGAACTTTTAAGATTACTCTTTAGCAACTTTCAAACATGCAATTCAGTATTAACTATAGCTCCATGCTGTACATTATATCCCAGGACTTATTTATTTTATAACTGGAAGCTTGTACCTTTTGACCCCTTCACTCATTTCACACACTCCCCCTATCCCTTACCTCTGGCAACCACCAATCCTTTCTCTGTATCTATGAGCTAAGTTTTTTTATCGTTTTTTTAATTCCACATATGAGTATTTGTGGGATCATATGGTATTTGTCTTTCTCTGTATGACTTATTTCACTTAGCATAATGCCAAGGTTCATCCATGTTGTCATAAATGGCAAGATCTCATTCCTTTTTATGGCTGAGTAATATTCCATTATATAAATGTACCACATGTTCTTTAACCATTTATCTGTTGATGGGCACTTAGGTTGTTTCCATGTCTTGAAAACCNATAGACCAAGGAGAGAGAATACAAAATTCATCCCTCCCAGAGGGTACAGATGAGTAAAATGTATAAAGAAGTTCAAGGGCAGAGGAAATGAATGGACAAGGATTCCACAAAGGACTGTGGGTGCCACAAGGAACAACCACAGAGCTAGTACCACACTTCTCATTAGAAACTAATAGGTTTGTGTGTCCCTGTTTGCACACAGATCAGTAAATTCACCTCTACCTAATCAATTTCAGGCCTGAAGGCTGTCGCTTAAAACACCAAGGTAGAGGATTACTAACTAGAAAGTTACTTTGGTGAAGGTGGCAGCGTGACGCTCCTAGTGTTTATTTAGGAGGCATTATAACGAATTACAATAACATATTCCCCTGTAGGGTCTAAAGGTAACTTGTGTGATATGGAGTAATTATTAAGTTGAACATCTTTAAAAATAAATTGCATACATGTTTAAAGGGTAAAAAAGTAAATTTTATGGTATGTGTGAATTACATCTTAATTTCTAAAAACCAAACTGTATTTTTATAAACTCAGACCTGTTTTAATTTGAAGCTAAAATTTGAGACATTAGCAAGATAATTTGGCTTACTTTGGGGTTTTTGAAAAGAACATGGTCGAAGGAATAAATAGAATTCTTTTTCTTGTGGTTTGAATAGTGTCAAGATGTTCCCAGGAAGTCAGCCAGGTTTTCTTTTCTGATGACAATATGGCTTTTCAGGGGGTTATAAAACAATCCTTACCTTGATAGGCTAAAAACATCTTCGTGAAGGGAGGCATCCTGACCAGGAAGTGAAGCACGGTGCCGCTGTTGGAGTAGTGGGAGCCGTAGTGGTAGGGCTGCACGGGGGGCAGGGGGTCGTCCTCCCTGGCTCCCTTGCGGTACTCCTCCTCCAGGTACTGAAGGAAATGGAATGACACAATGCATGGCGGTGAGCTCCAAGCAAAGTCGGAAAAGCCTCCCTCGTCTTCTTTTCCATCCTCCCTACCACCTGCGACACCATTCTCCATGCTGCTCTCCCCATGCGCTCAGATTTCAGCCGCCTTGAGTGTCCAGGGGTCTCCTCCTTGGTGCCCTGCTGAGGCCATTGCC